GGGGACCGGGTGGAGGACTGTGCCGGGGAGGGGGGTGGAGGACTGTGCTGGGGACCGGGTGGAGGACTGTGCTGGAGACTGAGTCTACCGTGCTCATTCCACGTCCCTGAGCAAAGGACAGGTGCCACTGGGGCCAGGGCCCAGGCAGGGAAACTCACGAGGGCAATCTGACCTTAAAAAGGTCCAAATATGAAATGAAAAAAACAACAGCCTGGGAATGCTACGGTTAGACCCACCATTAAAATTGCCCAAATCGGATAAATACAAACAATAACCACATAACCAGTTTAATAAAAGCAAACCAAAAAAAAAATAAAAATAAAAAACTGTTTCCAGCAAATGATAAACAAATGGATACACACACAAATGAGCAAAGACGAACAGCAGCAGCCATTTCACCAAAGGGAAACAGGGCTTAGAAAGCAGACAGGGGAATTGTGCCAGTGCCCAGAAGGCAGCCACACCCAGCTGCACACAGCATCGTCACGGGGAGCTAGTGTGCCGCGCTCCCTGCGCAGGGCTGGGACGAGGCTGGACAAATTTCAGGAATCACTTAGGCAAGAAGCATCCCAAGCCATCATGATGACTGCCCCTTTCAGCTCAGTCAGTGCCCGATATTAGGACCCAAGTGTTAATAACAAAACATCAAATCGCTCTATTAACATAGATCTTGCATTGTTATGATAGCTTAAAAAACGGGGAGAAAGCTAAATAATGCGATACCAAGGGAATGGTAGAATACAGGGTCCATCACAAATGATGAGACATCAATTCAATGGGACAGTATGTTGACATTTAAAGCAACAGTCGGCCACGCGCAGTGGGTCGCACCTGTAATCCCAGCACTTTGGGAGGCCAAGGCGGGCAGATCACCTGAGGTCAGGAGTTTGAGACCAGCCTGTCCAACATGGTGAAACCCTGTCTCTACTAAAAAATACAAAAATTAGCTGGGCATGGTGGCAGGCACCTTAATCCCAGCTACTTAGGAGGCTGAGGCAGGAGAATAATTTGAACCTGGGAGGCGGAGGTTGCAGTGAGCCGAGACCAAGCCATTGAACTCAAGCCTGGGGGACAAGAATGAGATTTCTCTCAGAAAAATAAAAAATAAGTTAAAGCAACAGTCATGGAATCTACATAGTGAAAAGCCACGATATAGTCGTAAACAAAAAACAGTATACAGAACGTGTTTGCTATACTTTTCCTAATATGTGTTTATTTCCTTCCGGTCTTTTGCATACGTCATACTGAGGGAAATCAGACTAAAACACTAATAGCCATTTTGGAGGCATTAAGTGATTTACAAAAATATCTTCTTCTCATTTTTAAAGCTAGGTTTTATAAACTTAAACATTAAATATTTTTCCTAATAATTTCTGAAATCAGTACTGTGATCCAAACTATATTCGTGCCTTCCCTTCAAATACTTTTTAGTCTTAAGTTGCCAGGACTTCAAAAGTGGCAGCCAGGGAGTCCCTCCTGTTACTTAAGACATCAGCAGACACCAGGCATCGTTTCCATTTTATACAAATGATGAAAAGCTCAAAGTCGCTGTTTTTCCCCATTTCCCTAAATGTGTGTTCAAATTCAGGCTACATTGGAAATTAATAAATCACCTCTATAGCAGTCAGAGCCTCAGACAAATACAACCGATCAACCAGTACAGCCAAGCAGAGATCACTGGCTGACCTCTAATACTATCAATCAACACCAGGAAGTTGATACCAAAATGGCCTTTTGGGGCCGGGCACAATGGCTCACGTCTGTAATACCAAAACTTCGGGAGGCCAAGGCGGGTGGACAGCTTGAGGACAGGAGTCTGAGACCAGCCTGGCCAACACGGTAAGACCCCTTCTCTTTTAAAAATATAAAAAAATTAGCTGGGTGTGGTGGCAGGCACCTGTAATTCCAGCTACTCATGAGGCTGAGGCAGAAAACTGCTCGCACCCAGGAGGTTGCAGTGAGCCAAGATCATGACTCTGTCCTCCAGCCTGGACAACAGAGCAAGACTCTGTCTAAATAAATAAATGGCTTTTTGGGCTCCCTCTCATCTCCTTTCTCCCCTTGCTGCCTAACAAAAAACTTGCAGACCAGGCATCTGTCCCTGGAGACCAGGGGGCATGGCCTCCTATGTAAACGGTCCCCACCAGGGGCTCCTGTGGGCTGAGGAAGGGCCCTGGCTGGCAGGACCTGGTTCCCCTGCCTGCCGCAGCGGGAGGCAGGGGTGGGTGAGCGCTGGTGCCTGCAGGGCTCCGGGCAGGTGGAAGGAAGAGTGACAGGGGGCGTGGGGTAGACACTGACCTCATAGATGAAGTACACCTTGGCCCCCACGTAGATGCCCATGCGCACCACAGCACGGACGGCAGCGTTCATACCTGCAGTGGAAACAGGAGCAATAGTCACTGAAGAGCCTGGGGCAATTCTGGCTCTGCCGCTAATTACCCATGACCATGCGTACGTTTCGTAACCTCTCAATGCCTCATCTCCTAATATGAGAAATGGGTACACACACTCCTCTGGGATTAGGGGAAGGACTAAAAGAAACAGCCAACATAATGCAAGGTGCCCCTGTGCCCAGGCTGAATCTAAGAGCCCAGCGTACTTTCAGTTCAAAACATCACTCTCTGGACTTGATACGAATTTGTAGGCCACTCCATCCAACTGCAAAACAAACTACAGAATAGGTGTTTATTTGCAGCTAGCCAAATTCTGTGTGTGTGTGATTTGAGGAGATGAAAATGGATTATCGCATCACCAACTACCAACGTAAAAAACAGCAGGCAATGGGCTTCAACAGAAAACAAGTCATGCAATGTTATGATCAGTAAAGTTAAAATAAGCCAGTGTATTACAAATAATCATACCTCATGAAGATAAAGGGAGGCCCCCCTTTAGAAGAACAGTGTTATACAATGTATAAGCCTGTTTACAATGTATCACAATATGTGTCTGTTTACAATATATCATCATGTAAGTCTGTTAGCCTCCATCTCGCTCTCCACTGCAGACGGATTTGGGGGAGCTGAAGTCACTAGTGTCTTGGAACCACCTCTGGACCTGGAGGGTCTGTCTTGCTGTCGTGGCTAATGAGCTCAGGCCCATCGGGAGAGGAGTGAAAAGGCACTAGGGCTGCCCCCACAGCCATGCAGCACTGCTGCTTAAGGAGGAGGAGCACCTGAGCCTTCAGTGCCTTCGCTCCCAAACACACCTGAGAGCACCAAGCTTCCTCCTCCGCAAAGTTAAATTTCAGAAACAGCTGTCAGGATTAAAGATGCTGCAGTTCGTGGGCCATGAAGCAAGCGATGCTTCCAGTCAATAAACCACAAATGACAGGACTCTGGTCCTGCAGGGGCATCTGGGACACAGAGGCAGGTTACGTGCACTTGGACGGCAACCGGCTCAGAACACGCTTAAAAAAACCTTCAATTACACTGGGCCAGGTTGGCGATGCTGGAGTCACCATGACCTCTGAAAGTTCACAATTCTGAATGAGAATATCTATTTAGCTGAAAAAGCTTGGGGATACATATTTTAGAGGTAAATGCATGTTTACTATGTATCTAATATGTACATGTACGTATGCATATATATATGACATAGTCTTATTTACTTTATATTCAAACCTAGTTTATAACACAAAGAATTCTAATGACCTGCTGATTAACTAGTGGCCATCTCTCAAGAACATGAAACTCAGCATTTCAAAATGCAGGTCATCTCACCCTGAACATTTCCTCCCCACACTGTACCCTCTCTCTCTTGCCGAACAGCACGACTTTCTTCTCTGTCGCTGGTGCTGAATGCTACTGACACCCTTGCTGGCTCCTGCCTATACAACTGACAGCTGCTCCCAACACTGCCCCTGAATCCCTGACTCCCTCTGACATGAGCCACACTGTGGCCAGAAGGATTCCAACAGTTTTTTCTCTTTTGTTGGCTTTTATGCAAATAAGTTATGAATATATTCTCCTTGTTTAGAAAAAAACACAAATGAAGTAACGGCCACATGAGCCCCAGCCCCTTGGAGAGCTGGGTGTGGGGCCGGGGCCTTGCTGCCGGGCTGTGTGGAGTTTCACACTGATTATTTCTTTCTACACTTTGATACTACGTCCGAGATGTTTTCCATATCAGTTTCAATGTTCTCTTCTAAAGCACAAATATGACCGCGTTCCTCCGGGTTCCCAGAGCTACGGGAAGAAAACCCAAGTTCCCCTGAGCTCCCAGCCATGCCCCAGGGAACTCCCACCTGCCTGGCAGCACTTGGAGGCTCCTGTCCCTGAACCTGGGTGGCAGTCCCACCAGCGCTCTGACGCTTCGACGCTCCGACGCTCTTCCTCCTCCTCCTGCTCCTCCCCTCTTTGGCTCTGGCACCTCCCAGGAAGAGGGTCTGGCTTGCCTCCCACCTGATTCCATTTATTCCTGGCAGGACAAAGCCCCCCGCCCCCTTGGTCTCACACCTGTGGGACGTCCTCACCCATCTCTCCCATGGCCAGGCTCAGCAGTGCCTGGACTCCTCAACTCCAAGGGTAGAGGCACAGCTCTGGTTCCAGGACCTTATGCTCTGCTCACTCTACTGGATGAATGAACCACCAAACACTTAGCCCGTGCCAACACTGGGAAGCAGATGATGCCGAAACACAACTAAGACCCGATGATGGCCCCTCACCCCTGCTCCTGCTTCTCCCCTGCTCACCCCTTCCTCCCCTGCTCGCTGAAGACCTCATTCCCACCGGTCTTTCATTAAGGAATGATGAAGAACTCAGGGATTTTAGAAAATGTTAAGTGGAAAGAAATAGCAGAAGGAATAAAATTCTTAAAAGCTGGACATGAGGCCAGGTGCGGTGGCTCATGCCTGTAATCCTAGCACTTTGGGAGGCCAAGGAGGTGGATCACGAGGTCAGGAGATCGAGACCATCCTGGCTAACACGGTGAAATCCCGTCTCTACTAAAAATACAAAAAATTAGTCGGGTGTGGTGGTGGGTGCCTGTAGTCCCAGCTACTCAGGAGGCTGAGGCAGGAGAATAATGTGAACCCAGGAGGCAGAGCTTGCAGTGAAGTGAGCCGAGATTGCGCCACTGCACTCCAGCCTGGGCGACAGAGCCAGATTCCATCTCAAAAAAAAAATAATAATAATAATAATGTAAAAAATACAAAAAAAAAATTAGCCAGGAGTGGTGGCAGGCGCCTGTAGTCCCAGCGACTCAGGAGGCTGAGGTAGGAGAATGCTGTGAACCCGGAAGGAGGAGCTTGCAGTGAG